GCTAGGAGGTAACAGTACTGGGCTGTTGAGGTCATTACCAGAGTTGCAGCTGAATGGAGTGAAGGCTGGTCTTTGTGGTGATGGGTAGAAGGAAGTGACAGGATATGGATACTGCAAGTAGTGCTTGGTATCTAGCAGGGCAGGCCTCTCATATGAGGAAATTCTCACAGAGGTGGCATAATCTAAATTGGAAAAATAATCTGGAATAAAGTAGGGTGTAAATTGCAAGGTGGACTACTCCAGATGAACTCCATTTGCAGATTCCCTATTCCAAATTGGTTTAATCCATTTTGAAAGGGGATTAGTGATCTGGAGATAAGCTGTTTTAATTTACTTAAGTCCCATTTAGATTATCAAGCAATGCTGAGTAGGTAACACTGGAGCAGATTTGACTCTGGTGTGACCTGCTTGTCTAGTTGTCAGAGCTTGTGGGAGAAGGCACCAGGGTTTGAAATACAAGGAGCTCGGGGGGGCTCAGCCCCCCTGTAAGAGACAAGAGCCTCCATCCGGCCTGCCCTGCACTTTTCTAAGCAGTTCCGGTGGCGGCTCCCAGCTTCCGGCTGCCACCACCGCAGGACCCCCCGCCCCAAGAGTCGGAGAGTAATTTGAGCCCTGGAGAGCACAGTCCTCTAGGACAAATGCTTTAAATGAACTAGTCTGATTTTAGCCCAATGCACTTTGAATTCTCTGTAAACTAGAATATCTAAAGTACGTGCGACAGGGTGCTGAACTGAGCAGGATCAGTAAAGTAGGGGGGGGGTGAGTCTCTTTATGCTCCTCTGTGGCTAACTACTCCCTGGGTGTTGGTTATCCTGGATACATGCTTTCTGGGGCAGGGACTGTTGCTAACTATGCAGTGCCTCGCATGGCAAGTCTTTGAGGCTGAATGACCTTTGTCTTTCTCCTTGTCCTGTTGCACGTGGCAAAAACAGTCCTACTTTATCCTGCCCTTGGAACATGGTATAAATTGCAGCACTTTCGGGAAAAGGGAGCGGGGAGGGGGTCACACCAGAATTGTGGTGTTTTTCTATGATTCACCATGACTAGGGCATATCTGCGAGCTGGGCAGAGCTCCAAGTGGTGGCTGGAGGAGTAGAAGTGAAAACCCTGTTTGTGAACTCAACAGTTGCCTTCTGTATCTCTTCCTATGTGTGAGTGGAAGATGCTGGTCTCCTCTGGCATCCTAGCTTGGGTTGCTGATGTAGAATGTGAGTCTGATACTTGTTTGTTCCAGCATTGCAGGCCCTGAAGTTTTGGGGCTTTATATTTCTTGAGTGAGACTACAGAGGTTCGGGGGATTCTTTGGGCACTGCCCACGTGAAACAGACTGTCTAGGGCCTGATCCTGGGAGGTGCTGAGTGTTATCTGCTCCAAGTGAAGGCAGTGGGTGTTGAGGGTACATGAAAACTTCTGCTGTAGCCAATATTAAGGACCTGATCCCTGATCTTGCTCATGAATTAGTGGTGCACTTCATCCCTCACCAGTGTTATCATTCATAAACCGTAAATCCGTATAGTGGAACCTTAATGTATGTTCAGGCTATTAATAAGTTTTGTACCCCTTTGACAGAACGTACTTGGAAGAGGAACTAACAAAAGCTCGGAAGAAGCCGAACCTGCGGAAGGACATGTATATGAAGATGACTGAAGTAGATCCAGACGCTCCAACCGAGGAGGAGAATGCCCAGCGAGCAGTAACCAAACCCCGATACATGCAGTGGAGAGAGACCATCAGTTCTACAGCAACGCTGGGATTCAGGATCGAGGGGATCAAGGTGAGGTTGCCTAACTTGCCTTCTGTACTGTACCATCCATTGCTTGCAGAGCCTATTTGAAAAACCACATGGGAGGAATGGAGAAATGTGAACCTCCTGTGAGCCCCCCCTAGCTGCAGGAAGCTTCTGTAGCTGGATTTACTGTAAAGAGCGCACACCACTCTCTCTGGGCTTAGCTCATAGCACTACAGTGTCTAAGATGGAACTTTGTAAAGCTGTTGCCTCCACCAAAAACCAGGCAGCGGTGGCATCTTTGCCTGAATTTTCGCTTTGGGCCATGTCAGCACCCAATACTATATAGCTCCAGAGCTGAACTGGATCAGGACCCCTTCTAAACTTCAAGGATATTAAAAAGTCTTGAGTCAGCTCGTCTGACTCAAGCCGCTTCTTTGCAAAATCTACGGAGAACTTGTTTCTATTGTTTCTGCAAACGTTCCCTCAGCCTTACCCCTTCAGTTATAGCAAGGTGCACTCAGACTCACCAGTTTACTTGCCTTAGGTAAGCTTTTTGTGAGAGAGGTTCTCTGTAACATTGCATGCTTTATTCATGTTTCACACACCACTGTGGTCCATGAAAGCATTAAATGGCTACCTGCTCTTAACTGTTTTAAGAAGGCAGGGCCGGATGCCATCTTGGAGACTAACTGGTTCAAAGGTGCCTTCTGCCTGACTTCAGACTAAGGTGGCTAATTATCTCTCTCCATCCTAACAGTTTAAAACTGCCCTCTAGAGGCAGCCTATCTAAGTGACTTTGGTCCTAATTGGTTCTAAGTTGTTTCCTCTCTCATGCACTGCTTTCCCTTTTAATGGCAAGGAGTAATTTGGTCAAAGTGCCTATGCTTTAGTTGGAATTCTGAGTTCTTTTGTGCATCTAAGTGGCAGCTTTTAAGCTGAATAAGTGTTATTTTTGGCATTTACATGCAGGTAATGATGCTGCAGATCCTTGCAGTGGGGATGCATAAGGTCATAGGTTTGATCCCTGGTTAGACTAAATGATCTCATGAGGTCCCTTCCCACCTTATTTCTTTATGAAATCTAAGCATGCATAGTAGGTGACCACCTGAGTGCACACTTACTCAGCTATATATATGCACCCATTCTGGATGTGTGCCTACATCCGAGTCCTGAATATGTAAGAGAAGTAAAAAATACAGGTTCAGGTTCCCTTTGGATAAGGTTAGGGTAGGGCTAGAACCTGGGGGCATCTTTACATGTGCGTGGGGGGTGGTTTAATTAGATCTTTAGTTAAAGCGCGCCCCCACTGCCATTTTGAAGCGTGAGGACACTGAATACTTGTAATGCCGAGGCTGCCGGAGCATGCCAATTAGCACATTCCAGCAGACTTGATTAATCGAGTCTGCTCTAACGCATTCTAATAAGAACTCATTGGAGCAGGTGTTGGGCACATGTATAGATACTCTGGGTCTCCAGCTTCCTAGGTGAGTAGCCTAATCACTGAGCTTTTGAGGCTAAAGTGTAAGGGGGGCCTTTCTCAATCTGTCCTCCTCCATACCCCCAAAACCTTTTACCTTGGTACTATTGTTTGACTGTCCACACCCTGAGACTGCTATGGATACATTCCACTGTTGTTTGCATTGCAGCAAACTGATACTCGCTATGAATTGTTTCCCAATAAATTGTGGGAGAACGTGCCTGCCCCTTTGAAGAACATGGACAGTAGAGGTAATTGTGGGATGGCATCAGAAAAATAGCAGCAGTTGAGCAGATCCAGCTTGCATTCACTACAGAGTGGTGGTTTCAGCAACTGAAGGTTTACATTAACCAGGACATTGGCATGTGGCCTCTGACAGGCCAGCCAGCTCCAATGAAAAGCCACAGCACACTTGAGTTAAAAGGTCTTGTGCATGGCTAGGAGTAGAGTTCTTGCTTGTATCTACTGCAAACTTAACTCCAGCCCTAACTGACTTGGACTATGTTTCAGTGATAATCAAGTAAGACTTAGGCTTCTAAGCTGCTTAAGCACTTCTGAACATCAGGGGTGTGCGAAGCGGGCCCTATTCGATTCGGATCCCGATTTCAGCCTGAATCGGGGATGGTGATTCAATTTGTTGATTCGGATCACTGTCCCTGATTCAATTCGGCTGAATCCGAATCTTCCCTTTCGTGCAGGCCCTTCCACCTAACCCAGTCTGCGAGAGAAAACCGGTAGCCACTTGCCCAATACAAAACCTCTGTCCTCATGATCCTGCTGCCATGAAGCTCATCCTGTCACATATCCCATTCCCTCTGGTCAGTCGCTTCCAAACACTCTCCTACCCTGTCCAATCCAGTCACGGGATGAACTTTTGGGCCACCCAACCAGCTGCAAGACACTTCCTTTCTCCATCTCTCTGACTTCCCAGCTCTCTTAAACTCCCCTTCTTTCCTGCTGCCTCCAGTGGACACGTGCATTGTCAGCCAGGACCTGCCATCAGCCCTTATTCTGAACAAACTTTTACCTATTTCCTACAGCTGTCACTCTCTGACTGACGGGTATTATACTGCTAAAATTGTAAGAATATACGGAGCTTGCCAAAGTGACTCTTTTGCTGCATCTCTCAACTGTCTCGCTAAGAACAGATACATTTATCTCTTCATTAGGCTATTGTGATGCCTCCATGGCCCAAAGAATTAACTGTTGTGCTGCAGCAAGGATGTGGGCTAACTGCTATGATTCTCCTTAAATCCCCTGCTCTGTGTAAAGGATTTCTGTATTGATTTAGAGGCATTTCTATAGACCAGGATTTGGGAAGGAGCTTAAGCATGAGGTGTCCAGATTCACTGTTTTAACTCTTAGACTGTGGAAAATCTCATGATGTCCCATGGTATGCAGTGCACAAGAACCCTCCTAGAAAGGACCTGACCTTTGCTTGAGTAGGAGTCCTGGGCTTCTGCCAAGAAACCTGGTGAATTGAGCACTACAAAGGTTACCTCGGGCCAAAAATGGGTTGTTGGCGCTGATGTGGTGAGGGGGCAGGATAAGCCTCGTTGCTCTGGCCTTATCAACCACCTTCACATTTCTTCTTTCTAAACTTTAGCTGCCTGGGGTTAGAACACCTGTAAATGCCATGCCTGCAGAAAGCACAACTGCAGCATCTGGCAGGTCAAGGAAATCGCCCGAGGGGAGTAATTATGGGAGCAGCATTGTGAATATGCTAGATGGCTTTCCTGAAGCTGAGATCATGCCTTATCTCAAAGCCCATCCACAATTTTCATTTAACTATGAACTCTGTATCAGACTCCACTTATAAACATGCATCTCCCTTTCTTAGACTAGACTTCAATGGCTGCTGCTGTGGCCCTTCCCCACATTTATGTTGACTGTCCCAGGGGAGAGGGTGAACGTATGTTTCCAGACCACAGCGCAAGGGCTTGTGTGACTTGTGCAGCCATGTTGGCAGCTTTCTTTTTAATGTGTGCGCATAATACAAGCACGAGAACCCCAGAGGAGTCAGCTAAATGGGGCCAGTGCCTGTCCTACCCCTGATGACCACAAAAATCCTTTCCCTAGTGGGGACCTGGTCACAATACTTAACCAAACTTTGGCATGTGGCCTGCATGCTCTGGAAGTCACCAAACTGTCTCTTGCTGGAGCACAAGAGGAAGCAAGTCTCTAAGCAAGGAAGTTTCCAGTAAAAAAGCTTGTTTCTCCTCTCTGAGGGCCCACATTTTGTAGACTATCAGCACAGCTGCTTTGTCCATGTCCCTTACAGTAGTGTAGGTCCTCTGAGAACATATGTTGCCCTTGAGTCCCAGACCATCCAGGATTTTATGTATTATAAATGGCTCCCAAACCTGCACCTTCAAGGAGCAGTTTACAGAGCACCGAGACCTATTCCACTGTGCATACATAAAGCTGCTTAAGCTAGGACAGTTGTTTGGGTGCCGCCTTCTGTGTGTGCGCATGCGTGCACGTGTGTGTGTATAAAGATTCTATCAAGGTGTGCGTTCCAAATTGGAAGTTTTAATTTGTAAACCATATATAACCTTGCCTTAGAGCTGCATACATATCATTTATTGATAAAGTCCAGCACGCTGTTTTATAGTCTGCAGAGCCCTGCAGCTCAATGCATTGTATCTGTGTACTTCACTTTCCATTTGTGACTGACTTCAGACTCCGTCTTGCTTGCAGTTAGTACCTTGCCTCATGGGAGTGCTGTGTGCCAAGAGCTGTGCTCAACAAAGAGCACTCTGCTGGGCAAACTCTGAAAGGGATCCCCTGACATCTCAATCTTCAGGGCAGGATATTCATTGTACTGCCTTCCTTCATCCCCTCCAGACTAACAGGATGTCTTTCTGGCTTCCATCCCTTCAAATTATTGTGCACAAACAAGTTGTTGTCATGGCAGAACTAGATTACAGAAATACAGCTGCATGCCTAGGGCACACTTCATACTAGCTTCTAAATCCAGGACTTTTCTTGGGGTAAGATACCATTAGGTAGAAGGTTCTTGGAATCTGGCTTTCAGTGATTGGACTATATACTCTCCTGTGTAAGGACAGATGTTGGAGGGAGGACAGCTCAACTTGGAGGACATCCTGGGTTGGATCTGAGTTTGGGTTGTATGCAGTATGAGAAGCTGGGATGATGACCAAGTAGCAATGCTGCTCATCTGGTGCTGGGATGAAAGGAGCTGGGTGCTGGGTGGAAAGCTGGTGCTGAGTGGAAAGGAGACCAAATTGTTTGTAGAAAGGAGACTTCATTGTTTGACCTCCTCCACCTTCTGTCATATCACTTTTTGAGACTTTCTAGAGGGAGAAAATAGCCTATTACCCAGGGTATGTCTCTGGTAAGTAGAGGTGAGCTGTTATAGCTTTGCTCTGTGCAAGCTGCTTTAGTACTTCAAATAAGACCATGCTACAAATTCCGGGAAATATCTGCCTCTTCTCTCAAGCCACCCTCAAATGGTTTCTGGCATAGGTTTTATGCTGGTTTCCTCCTTAAAGCAAGGGCACAGATGCTGGCTGTTGTCTCCCTCTAACCTGCCTTGGGTGGTACTTGTTTAAATCCTGACCTTGCAATCCAAGATGCTGGTCCACATCCTCCTAAGATGTGCAAAGTAGTGTTTAAAAACACAAATCCTTTTCCCTGACTAGCAGCTTTCATGACTCTCTCTGAGTCTCTCTCTCTCTCCTTCTTTTAAGAATGAAGATGGCACTGTAAACCGGGACTTCAAGAAGACAAAGACAAAGGAACAAGTCACAGAGGCCTTCAGAGAGTTCATTAAAGGGAACCGTAACATTCTGGTGAGTCATTCATTGCATCAGGAGGGCATTGCTCAAGTGTCTTCCAGGTGTAAGAATGGGGCTTCTCTCTGCGGATTCGTGCCTCGCTGGTGAACTTCTTTAATGCTGAGGACCACAGACAGATGAAGCCCTCTGCTGCTCTGCTGAGCATGCTTTAAAATAGCACAAAAGAGGGCAAAGAGAAACCACTTCCTGGAGTGGTGGAGCTGCCAGGGTAGGGAGAGGTTAAGGGAGATTGCATGGCTGGCTTTTATAACAACACAAATAACCTTGTTGCCTATAGCATCTGGTAAGATTAAGTCACAGGACAGGCAAAAGCATAAGCTTGGGTTGGCTACTCTAGGCAAGGGAAAGTCTGCTGCAGAGGTGCTGAAGACATCACCTCTGGGATGTAAAACTCTCATCTATAGTGGCTGAGGGTAGTGCAGAAAAAGAGGAATGGACATTTCCATGTGGTTTTTAACCATGGCAACTGCCTGCATGGCTGGTGAAGAGTTTTTCTTCCTAAATAAATTTACAGGGTAGCCTGGGAAGGCATGATCTAACAAGGTGCCTAGGTTCCCTTATCTGTGGTGGACATCTGAGTCTGAATGTGGCAAACCCCTATATCTTGCATTTGCCAAATCTGGCTGCTGAGTTGCTAGATTAGACTAGATATTTAACTGTAAACACTTTATGCTGACTGTCCAAGATCTCACTGTGTTGAGGGAGGTTTGTTTTAGGTCTTGCTATATAAAGCCTACACACTAATGACTCTAAATGGCATGTCTAAACTTGCACATTTCCTTTGATAGTAGTAAATTGGGATAGATTCTTAATTCAGTAAACAAAGCTGTGCAAATTGCTCCTGTGTACACCAAAGGACATGGAGGTCTTTCAAACCATCCTGACCCCATTCTAGAGTACAGCTAATGAGAACTGAATTTAATCCATCCTGTTGTCAAGGCTTCTTGAATCCATCCTGCCTTATCTTTGCCTTCCCCTGCAGCCCACAAGCTCCCATCATAGTTGGTGAACTGTCCACCCAAATTATACTAAAGCCATGATTCTCAACCAGGGTGCCTTGAGATCCTTTTGAGGGTGTTATGGGGTGCCACGCAATGTTAGTACTGTTGGCGTACAAACACAATTCACAAGATTAAACCCAAAAGTTCCAGGCAGGAATCCATGCTGTCAAAAGCATTCTGACCTGTTGTGGTCTTTCTCAGTTTTTTGCAACAGAAGAATTGCTCTATTTTTCTGTATTCAAAAAATAGGGCTGACTTGAGTCTATCAAGGAGTGTCTCCAGTCTAATAAGGTTGAGAACCACTGGATTAAAGGAAGGGCTGGCAGGCAGCTTGCTTGTCCAGTATTGGGCACATCAGACTATTTCTAATTTAGCCTTTCTGTTTAGGTCAGGAAAATACATAGGCTTGTTGCTTGTCTGGTAAGGGTTTCTCAGTGAACGTATAGACATTCACAATAATAACAATCCCACATGTATGCTTCACTGAGTCTGTCTAGTGACTTCCTTGAAATTTGCTTAAACTGGCCATAACACTTAACACTTTTTCTTTGTGTTTCCAGAACAGTTACCTTAATCGGTTGAAGGGGATTCGTGCCACCCTGGAGATGTCACCGTTCTTTAAATGCCATGAGGTAGAACTTGCCTTTCTCTATTGTAACGTTTCCTGGCTTGATCTCTTTCTAACTGTTGTACAGCTTTTAATTTCATTTTAGATCCTGCCCAAGGAAAGTAGCATAGTCAGCATAAAAGCTCCTCTTTCTGAAATCTGCAGCCATTCTCAAATCTGTTGCTTTAATTTATTTTTCCAGTCAGTATCTTTATGGAGATCTGATGTAAAACACTCTAATCTTGGTACGTTTGATGAGGTTAAAGATAGCTTTTAGCTAAAAACTATCAATTTTAATTAGTCCAGAAGTTTGTGTATGGGTTTGGAATGTCGAAGTTTTATGTGACTTCAAAAATATTTTTGGCTGTTCTGCTACAGACTAGATGGTATGCCTGTGATAAATTCCTTGTATAAATGCTGTCACTGCTCCCCACCACTGCCAAATTTCCAGGCCCATGGGGACCCTGTACACTGGATGACATGTCCTGTGCTGGCATAGCATATGGGGTTGTTCCATGGCCAGATCCAATGTTGGGTCAAGTCAGTGTGCACAGTGGACATAGCCCTGTGGGCCTAGCTTCCCTGTACTCATCTGGCCCTGGGGGCTTGAAGCGTGAGTACCACTAAGTTAGTTGAACACACCTTTGGAGATCTTTAAAAAAAAAAAAAAAAATAGTGCTGGCAGACTATATCAAAACAGCATTTGTAGTGCTTACCGGGTAGATGTGTTGAGTCGTTTTCCATTGAAATAATTTCCTGACAAAACAGTTTTGGTAAAACTGAAATTTTCCACAGGAAAAATCAGTTTCAATATAAAAGTCTAAATGGAATATCTCCTTTTGGGTCAAAGCCACCTGAATCGTACTACTTCCGTTTTTGAACTGAACCTCTTTGCATGTACAAAAGCTGGGATCTGTACTGTATTGGTAAATCCAGTTGTTTTAAAATGTCTGATTTGTATGTGCAAACACAGCTGGCAGGTATGCACTTAAGGTTTTGCTCATGCAAAAACCCTATATGAAGTATTGCAGGTGCACCTCTAGGTAATGTGTTTGAAAGTGTGGCCCTAAAACTGGTGCTATAAGGAAGGGCAGGCATGTGTCTAAGGAAAAGCTGGAGCATAAATAACTTGGTGTCTTCTTTCTGCAGGTGATTGGGAGCTCCCTGCTCTTCATTCATGATAAAAAAGAACAGGCCAAAGTCTGGATGATCGACTTTGGGAAAACCACACCACTGCCAGAGGGACAAGTCCTCCAGCACAACGTGCCCTGGGTAGAAGGGAACAGAGAGGATGGCTACCTCTGGGGGCTGGACAACCTCATTCAGATCCTGACAGAATTGTCACAAAGTGAGAACCTGCATTAAAGCCATATGTCCAACTCCACCACTACCCAGAATCTTGCCCCTCAAACTGACTCTTCCGAACTGCACTACAAGACACTTTCCAAACCCCTCCAATTTTAAAGCTATAATCTCCCTATTTAAGGTGTTGTTTTTTTAGTTGTGTAAATATGTAGGTCACCCGCCAGAACAAAAGCTAAACTTGAAGTCTTGGCTTTGTGCAGTAGACAGAAGCAAATCGTGTCACACCCTTTCAGTACCGGAGGTTAACGACTCTGGTTGGTCTGGCTAGGCAAATGCACGCTCTTTCTGTAGCATCTCTGGTTCTTATTCCATCTGTTTTTAACAAAAATTTATTTAGTGAAAGGTTAGGCAGTTGATGCATTCTCCAGCTGAAGGAAAATGATGTCTTAAGTGCTGAACTCTGTGGCTCATGAGATTATGTGTATGTTTTAATGCCTTTCCAGGTATCAGACAGCTCAGTCAAGTGAAGGGTGGATAGTAGTTGTTTATCTGTAATGATCAGCTGCCCTCCAGTGGCAGGTGTTGGTAACACACTATCTTCAAGGTAGCCAAGGCTAAGGCAGTTGCAGACTGCCATTTCAGGTGTTCAGGGGTTATGGAATAAAGAACAAACGTAGAGGTTGTGGAGCAGGAAAAGGCAGGATCAGCCAAGTGGGAGCAATTTAGTTATTTACTAATATCCTTAAATCTAGGAACCTAGCTGTGTAGAGTCTGTGGGAGTAACTAGTAATAGCAGATCTAAGCTTTTCTCTATACTTGAGAAATCCTATTATCTGCTTGGGATCATGGCATCATTTGAGTGGCCACTTGGATTTCAAGGTTACTTCTTATCTGTGGCCAAGTCTGGTGTGTGTGTGTATTAGTCCATGCTGACCTACCTGTGCTGGATGATGCGTTTCCCTCTAATCGCTGAGGTGGGGCCACAATGTTAGGTGCAGAAGTTTTACCACCAGCCTCAACTTCCAATTGAAAATGCCTTTGGATGGCTTAGCAGTATGGCAGTGTGATGCCACATGAAGGTCTGAGGCATTAGCTCAGAGCTCCTGAGTTGGCACTGGTGAGGACTGTTATGGAACCAGTAGTCTGGGGCCAGACAAGAAGAGAAGGATTTCTACATAGCCAATGATCTCTCTTTTTTTTTTTTTTTTTTTTTTTTTTTCCATTTTAGGAGCAGCTTCTAGCACTCCTCAGCAGGGGCAGCTGGCCCACCCTGGGCCTGAAGGGCCAAGACAGCAGTGAGGGAGAGTGAAAGTGGTGGTAGGAAACCACAGAGACACTTAAAGCCTTCAATGCTGATTGCTCTTTCTGACTAGCACTCAAGCGGGCTCTCCTCCATGGCATGAAAGGTTAACATTGCCAGGATGCCCCTTTCTTCTCCTCCCCACCCTGATGCCCCCTAACATCTGGTTCAGTCAAAATGTGATATGTAGACTGTCTCCATGATTTACTTTATTGCAGACTTCTTGTTACAAACCTTTTAAAATTTACCAAGTGCCAGGCAGCAGAGCTGTATGCTGCTGTAGGTCAAACCCTGCCTGTGTCTTCAAAAGAGAATTGCATTGTCAGGTCTTGAGGGGGCTTTTCAGTACACACACAAGCGATCCTTGAGGTGGTGTGGGTGTGACCTAATGCCTATAGGCTCATACCGGGGAGAAAGAGGGCAGTCAATCAGCTCTCAAGATGATCACATCAGTCTGATATGGTAAAATGTAAGGATGTTAAGGCATTCCTTTTGTGCCACAGTTCACTAAATCTGGTGGCGGTCTTCAGCTTTTTTTTCAGTTTGCTCTGTCTGAACTGGATAGCATACATGGCCTCTGCTTCAAGTCTTGTGAAAACAACCAGCCCTCTATTGAGGGTGGAGGCTATTTTTTAACTTCCTGGAACATTTGAACTAAGCAGACTGCTTGCATTGGAGCCGGTTTGCTAAAGGTCAAGTATTGGCAGAATGGCAGGGAGGGAAGCATTGCTGCTGTGTTCTGATCATCAGAGGGAGCTTGGAGGTCTCTGGGATTTAGGACCGAAGGATGGCATTGAGTTTAGGTTATGAGCAGTCCTGAAGGTTGTTGTCCACGAGTAAGAGCAGCTTCCGACAGAAGCTCTGAATCCCTCACTTGCCTGACTCCAAAAGGTCATTGCCTCATCTCTTTCCCCAGTGGCAGCGCTAGAGACAGTCTGCCATAGTCAAATGGGTGCAGCTTCCTATGTCAGGGAGGTTCTCTCACTGCAACAATAATGCAGAAGCGATTTAGCCATCAATTGTTCTGCAGTCGAACACAAGCATCTTTCATGAAGATTAAAATCTCCTAAGACTTTCTTGGTTCATATCTCACCAGGCACATGTCTGTAGTTCTTTTGATACAGTTGTAAATGGTTGCACTGTTTAGCTTTGCCCAGTCTTCCTAGGCTGCTTAGAATAGCCCATATGGAAGTGCCTTACAGACTCGCCTCTGTTCCATTAGTGTCATGGAAAAGTTTTGGTTTTTTTTAAGTTATATTTATTTTCATTCCTTTTTTAATTGCACAAAACACTAAGACTTAATGCATGGAAACTTTTTTTAATGTATTTTTAGTTTTAAAAACATCCTTTTCTAGCTTTGGGGAAAAGACCCGAGCGGCAGCATAGATCTGTGCCAGTTTATAGCTGTATTTTTAGCTTTTGAGTTGCTCCTATATGTGTATTATTATTTTTTTAAGTCTGTTTATAAACCTTGCTTTGCAGCTTCGAAAGAAGCAGATTGTTTCCCTGGATGTCTTATGCCTTTCTGGAGGCTGGAACTGTAGCTGTGAGATATTCTTTCCC